GGAGCCCCTACTGCTCCCCGGAGCTATCCAGGCTGATATGATTATCCCTAACTTTGGCATCAGATGATGTGGGTGGAGTTCTAGGCCTACTGGGGACCACGAGCCAGAACCTGGCCCCCCTTAGAGAGGCATGAGGAGCAATGACCTTTAGAAATCCACATGTGATTTGGAGCATTCTATATCTGCCATCAACCGGGACAGGCATCCAAAAGGTAAGTGCCTCAAAACAGACCCCTATTCTGGTTAATAGCGACGAAAATAGACAAACGAGTGGACAAACCTCCCTATATAAAAATGAGCAAATGAGAGTGATGTCACACGAGCCGCGCTGCATGCCTGCGCAGCTCCCCCCTCCCTGGAAGGGGGGAATGGGGAGCCCCAGACCCCCGCACCAGCGATCCACACCTCAGTTTCTTGGATGATGTGAGGCATCACGGTCGTGTGGCTCCAGCTCCAGACTCTTGTGTTGTGCTGTGCCTTGGTAAAGTACTACTCTTACGGTGGCATCCAAGCTGGCAGTAATATTCCTAGGTACTCGGGCTGCATGCGTTCAGGGTTCCCTTCCCTACGTGCCCTGTAAGTACTGCCCTTGGGGTTTGGGGGTTATCTTTCACAAGTCACCTTGGGTCTACCTCTGTTGGTCTTTTGCTGCTTGTCAATTGACCACACCGAGTATTTTGGGTTTCCGCCCTTGTTTACCTTGGGGTAAGTGGTAGTTTTTGGACTGGTAGGGGTACGGGGTACTGCGCAGCTAGTTTTCACCTATAACAGTGGCTGGTTCTGTTCCTTCTGGGTACGCTGTCCTCTTGCAAGGTTTTTTCTTTTTCTTTTTGCCTGGTGGAGGCGTCTGCCTTAGTGTTCCTTCCTCTTATTCTATGGTTACTGATGTTTGGTGGTATCCCCTGCTTCGCCTTCGTGGGCGGACATGTCCCGCGGGTTCAGCTTGGGCACCGGTTAGCAGTACCCTGCCTGGGATTACCCTTAGCAGACCCAGTCTAGGGGCCCTAGGAAACCCCACGGGGGCACTCGGGTCCAATGGATGCGACTCCCGAGTCCCCTCTCACCTTGTGCAAGTTTGAGGGTTGCTCTGTCCCCTTGTTGCTTATAGGGACCCGGACTTGGGGGTAATTACCTATTAGCTAAGTGTAGTTACAGGATGAGAGCTACGTTCGTGGTGTCCCGTCTTCCCAGCACTCTTGTTGTTGGGTGTTGGTCGTGTTGGGTCGAGATGTATATGCAAGCGGATTCTTCCAGCTGCCGCCCGATGTCTGACTTGTTGGTCTCCAGGGGTCCCGGTTGGGTTCATCCCGGAGGGGTTGTGCCAGGGCTCGTGGTTCCTCTCGTCGGGATGGGCCACAGGGGCCAGTTTCGGAGCTGGTGCCTGGCATGCCTTCGGTCCCAGCTGCACCTTGTCGGTTCGGTGCTCACTCTGTGCTCAGGTCGGGTTCTTGTCAGGGGCATTGGCCCTTTTTTCGCTTCGCCCCATTGATGGGGCAATGAGGGGGGAGGCTTGCTCTGTTCGCTCACGCCTGGTCTCACGATTCGTGGGCTTTCGGCTCGTTTTTCGCGGCCTGCGGTTGCGTTGGGTGGCTCCTCCTCCTCCTTGGTTCGAGGCAGGCAGGGCAGGCTTCTTCTCCTTTTCTCTGTTGGGTCATCTTGGAGTGGGTGCACTTGGGTGTGTTCGAAACGCAATGTCTCTCGGGTGGGTTTCCCACCTGTTTCCAGTTCCGAAACGGGACTGAGCGGACCTGCGGTTCATTCTAGACTTGTCCCATCTGAACCCCTGGGTTTCTTGCCCCTCCTTTTGAATGACCACTCTGTCCCAGGTCCGGCTTCTGTTGGAGCCGGGTCCTTGGATGGTGTGCCTGGACCTCAAAGACACGTATTGGCATGTCCTGATTCATCCGAGGTTCAGGGGGTTGGCTCAGTTTTGTTGTGGGGTGTCAGAGTTATCGCTTTCGTTGTCTCCCATTCGGGTTGAACCTGGCACCTTGCGTGTTCACGCGTCTTATCCGGGTCGTGGTGGCCCATCTGCGTCTGTTAGGTGTTCGGGTGTTGGCATACCTCGACGAATGGCTGGTTTCAGCTCCCAGTCGGTCCACGTGTCTGCTCGCCAGGGGTTTGGTGCTTTCCCAGCTATCCGGGTTTGGGTTCCTGGTGAACTGGCAGAAGTTCCATCTGGTTCTCTCCCAGGTTCAGATCTGGCTGGGTCTTGTGTGGGAATCTTGGACAGCTTCCTTGTCTCTCCCTCTGGAGTCTCTCCTTCAGCTGCGATCCAACATGTGCTTGTTTCTGAGGGGCTCCCGGCTCTCCCCGGCGGTTACTCGAGGGTCTGTGCAGGAGCCTGAACTTTGTGATGATGGTCTACTCGCTGGGTCAGGTTTGGCTTGGTCAGCTGTTCTGGTTCCTTCGGAACGTCCCTCCTGCCTCTTTCGCAATCGCTGGGTTCGACCCCCAGGGGCTGCTTCATCGCTGGCTTCCTCTTCGGGTTTTTTGGCGTTCAGTGCGTTGGCGCCTACCCGAGCCCTCGCTCGATGTGTTCACGGACGCAACTTCTCTCGACTGGGGGCTTTGTGACCAGTGCTCATCAGGCCACCCAGAGGCGTGGGGTCCATCCTTCTGTCGGGTCCCATAGCACCGTGCGGGAGTTCGCGGCGGAGTGGTTTGTGCACCGGACGGTTCGGGTTGCCTGTGGATTGACGATCCAGCTCCATTCGGACTGCTCTCTGGTGGTTCGTTGTCTGAACCGAGGGGGTTCAATGCGGTCCTTTTCTCTTTGGGGCTGGTCGCTTCGGGCGACTCGTGTGCTAAGTTCTCTGGGTTTGGCTCTCCTGGCGGTTCACGTCTGGTGGGTGTCCAACGTCCTGGCGGATGGCCTGTCCTGTTTAGTTCCCCCTTCCACGGAATGGACGGTCGATGCCGACTCATTCCGTTGGCTCTGCCAGACGTTTGGGCGCCTGGAGGTGGACTTTTTCGCTTCGGCGTGGTCGAGGCGTCTTCTGGTATATGTGGTGCCTTTCCCTGACTGCGAGGCCGTCATGGTCAACACCTTCCGGCAGGACTGGTCAAGGTGGGGAGGTTCCTCTTCCCCCTGGTTCTGCTGTTGCTCTAGGTCCTGGCTCGCTTGGAGACTTACCAGAGGTGAGTAGTCCTCATGGCCCTTGTGGTGGCCGACCCAGCCATGGTTTCAGGCGTTGCTTGCCCCGTGTTCGAACCTGGAGGTTTTTCCGTGGCTCCGCCTCCGCCAGGCCGATCAGGACTGGTTCGCTCTTCTTCTCGAGTCTTCACGTTTATTTTATTTTTTACTAGAGTTTATCATCTGTATGGTGATCAGGTGGCTTCTTTGATGGTGTCCCATCTGCGGGTTTCGTCTCGGCAGCAGTATGAAGTTTCCTGGCGGTCTTTCCATTTCTTTTTGACTGTCATTGTACTTCGCTTTCGGTTCAGGTGGTGGTGTCCTTTCTTTTGTGGTTGTTCCAGGACCGTCGTCTTATGCCGAATACTATCGCCTCATATCGTGCGGTGCTGGCGAAGCCGCTTCAGCTTTCTTTCGGTATGGATATTACTTCTGCGCCATTTCGCAAGCTGTCTCATGCGTTGTTTCACCTCCGGCTTCCTCATGCGCCACCTGAGCCGTCGTGGTCTTTGGACAGAGTGCTCTCCTATCTCTCTTCTCCTCGGTTTGTAGTGGCCCCTTCGGTTCAGAATTGTTTTTCTAAGGCTATTTTCCTGTTGGCATTGGCCTCTGGGGGGTCGGGTTGCGGAGCTTCATGCTCTCCTCCGGTGCAGAGGTTTCTGCTCTTTTGGTCGTGGTGATAGGTTTGTTCGTCTACAGCCATCTCCTTCTTTTCTGGCGTAGAATGAGACTGCTGCTTTCCGGAGGGGTCCTTGGGTTGTTGATGATTGGTTGGTCAGGCCGAGAATGCATCATGTGTTGTGTCTGGTTGCGGCCCTTCGCTGTTATTTCTGCGCCATGGCTTCTGTGTCAGGGGATGCGCTTTGGGTTGATCTGGTTTCCCTTCTTCCCTGTTTTCGGGTACGGGTCTCTCAGGTTGTCCGCAGGGTTATTAAGTCTAGCCACCCTGCGCAATCCTTGTGCTCATGACATTCGTAAGTTTGCTGCTCGCTCGTCTTTGATAACATGTCCTGGGCTGACATTCAGGTACGGGGTTTTTGACTGTCGAACTGGGTCCTGGCTGTTCAGGATCCTTGTCAGTGTTCCTGGGATTAGTCGGGCCTGTGTCGCTTTGGGTTGGCAGCTGCAGCCTGTCTCGACTTCGAGTTGAGATGTGAGCACTGACCTCCTCCCAGGTAAGTCCCTTTCTTTCTTTTTCGTCTTTGGTGAAGTAGCTCTGGGGAACCGTAGGGGCTCCCCTCAGAAAACCAGTGTTGAATGTAATGAAACACCATTTTCTGGGCGAGTCCCGGAGGCTCCCGGCAACCCTCCCTCCCTCCGGTTGGCAGTTTTCGCATATTTTTATATCCAGTCTCAGAACTGGGGTGTGGATTGCCGGAGCGGGGGTCTGGGGCTTCCCCTTCCCCCTCCTGGGGAGGGGGGGGGGTGCTGTGCAGACATGCGGCGCGGCTCGTGTGATGTCATGCTCGTTTTCTCGTTTTCATATGGGGAACTTCTGTCCGCTCGTTTGTCTATTTTCGTTGTTTTTATCCAGAATAGGAATTTGTTTTGGGGTGCTTACCTTTCTGGGTGCCTGTCCCAGTCGATGGCAGATATAGAATGCTCCAAATCAGATGTGCATATCTATAGGCTTTGCTCCTAGTGCCTCTCTGAGGGGGTCCAGGTTCTGGCTTGTGATCCCCGGTAGGCTTAGAACTCTACCCACATCAACTGATGCCAAAGTTAGGGATAATCATATCAGCCTGGATAGCTCTGGGGGAGCCTCCGGAACTCACCCAGAAAATGGCGTTTCATTATATTCAGCGCTGGTTTTTTACCCTTCCCATGTATCCCTAAGTAATATTATAATTTCTGTCATTTTTAGGTTGGTGTGAGTGCAGATTCTATGATTGAGAATATACTAGGTACCAAAGATGCCCCAAAGATGAGGTCACCCCAACCACTAAAGAAGGTGAGACAGGTAATTTATGTACTGTATCCTCGTGAAAAATTATGCATTCAAAGTGTTCATGTGATCTTGAATTGATGTCGTGGGAAATAAAGGAAAAATAGAGAATTGAGTATGGTGAAATGCTTCTTTCTGAGCATGATTCTCGGATGTTCCCATAGCCACAACTTCTTATGATCCAGGACTCAAATTGCCAACCAAGCTCTCATTATATTTATCCCCATAGTGAAGGGTATTATTGCAAGTGGTGTTGTAATGTGTTCAGGAAAGAAAGACAGTGGTGAATCTAACTTGAGCCACCACAGTGTGTGTGAACCAGCTCGCTATAAAATTAAGGAATGAATCGGGACTACTCTCTCCCTGCAAGTAAGAATTAGAAGGGCTGTATAAAAGGCTACTCCACCTGCCACCAAGTGATGCCATTGACACAACAACAGGGTTGGATGAGCCCAAACTCTCAAGCTTTGGGAAAGAAGGGACAACAAAAGCAGGACTGGTAGCATCCAAGGGTCCTATTCAAAAAGAAGCATTTAGCTATGCCTAATTCTCTCTTTCTGAGCCGAGACCCCTCTGATGCTTGCATTGCTAATTCTCATGTTGATGCAAACAATATAAAAATGAAAATGGGGCATGTTACCTGAACAAGAGAATGAAGAAAGAATGAGGTGGTGAGAGCAGACCTAGGGCCAAGACTGCTGGCAAGGGGGACTCGGTTACCTGGCTTGGAAAGTGGCATGGTACGCAAAATACGCCATGGAACCCTGACTAATCCATTAATGTCTGAAAAAGACAAGTTAATAATACTGTGTACACAAAAACCAAATGATTGAGAATGCACCCTCAGTGCATCTTTCTGAAGGCTCTAGCCATCCAAAAATAGGGAAAAGTTACAGGTCTGACTGGGGAAGACTGAGCTGGTGGCCAAAATAACGTTGCCAAGAGTGCAGAAGCTCCCTCTCTCTGAGACCACCACCTTTCTACATAGCACACAGGAGTGCTCATGAAGCCTGAACAAGCAAAGTGAGCACTGGCAGCTACACCTGGGAATTATTGAGTTGGAGAGAACTGCCAGGATGAAGAAGTGCCAAACCATGTAATCAATGTTTAATTCTTTATTGTAAGCCTTAATGACCTCCAAAATATCTTACTTTTGCCAAGTCTCTCAAATTCCTTAAGAAGAAATTGTGGTATCTCGTGCCACGATTTCCTACAAATGCTATTCAGGATATTGCTCTGTATTGCCTCATGCATTCGTGTTCTAAATCATTAATGCTTTGATATGATTAATGAATGATACAAGTTTTCAAAAATTCTTGAAATCTTCACATTGTGTAATAAGTTTTAAAAGTTGATGTAATGCCCTGATCCATAGGCTGGATTATGAAGGTTATACTAAGGAGCAGTAATGTCACTAACATTAGGGTTAACGTGAGGAAAGTACACCATCTCCCATGACATTATCAAGACTGAGCAGAAGTGTTCTTACACCAATCATCATCATCATCATCACAATTTGGCAGTTATCCAGACCCTCTTATTTGTTCCAGTGAATTTGTAGGGTATTCTGATTAGGACCTTTTAGGGCTCTGGGACTGAGGGATTAAGTAGAAATTTACACTTAAAATATCTGCAGCTTTGTCATGAAGCATAAGTAAGTTGTTAAAAGAAGGCACCAAGCTGGGAAGACTATATAGCTTTATAAAGCATAAGAGTTGGGCTATTACTTAATGACATGAAACCTGGAGCAAATCTCACTTCATGTGAAATATGTTCTTTGACATGCACTTACAAAATAATCCACTTTTTCACCAGCATTAAACATTTGCAGTGGTGAGTAGTCTTCATTTCTCTGAAACTTTTCAGTTTGCTGCCTCTCTCTCAACCATGATGATGCCTTTGGCATTTGCTTAACTTATCAAACTTATCTTTACTTGTGAAGACAGGCTCTGCAGTTAATGTGGAATCTTTTTGCATATTTTTAGGAGAAGTGATGCCACCAAGTGCTACTGTCAAGATTCTCAAACTCTTAGTCTTAGCACAAATCCCATTGGAACTTAGAGGCATCTTTTTTTTTTAAATCTCCATGATCCCCTTAAATAAACCTACCTGCTGCCTTAACATTTTCTCATTTAGAAAAGGTCTCATTCTTGACACTATCACATCACTTGGTGAACTTGACCCCAATCACAGAGGCTTTAGTTGTCTTCATTCTTTCTAATTGAATATATGTTTGACTCATTAACATTGTACAGGTAAGTGAAGGTTGAAGCTGATGCTGATAAGCCCAAGTAAAAAGTGAGAAGTCACAGGGTCTCCTCACCATTGACTTGTGTGTGATGGGTGCAACACCACAGGAGTGAATTGGTACCATACCCCACATATTCACACCTTCCAACAGTTTGCAGATCTGCAAATCGCTCTCTTGTGAAACAATTTTGTGCTACAAAACAAACTGTGAATATATTTATTCACTTTCAGATCTGAATATAAAGAGCTATGATACAGAATAAACTGGACAAATAATTTAAACAAAAGCTATTTAGAAAAATTAGAAATATAGCTACAGCTGTGCACGTATATACAGTAATACAGTAGCTAATGGGCTACAGCAATTTTTGTTATTCACTGGCTTCTAAGGAAGCCCTGAATAACAGTTGTTTTCTGTTGCAGCAACCTGCAGGTGATATTGTGTCAAGTCAAGGAACAGTTACAGCCAAGCAAGGTACACCTGTTGATTGGTCCAAGATGAATAATATCAACACTTTATTTGGTTCCATCCAGGTTGGTTGGCCATTAACTCAGATTCTTTTACACTCTTTTTGCCAATCGAATCTTCTGAGTTATTACATTCAGTTACCTCCATAGGTAAAATCTGCAGTGTCCTTTGAACTCTAGTTAGGAAATATTCTAGGCACTGACTCCACAAGACACTATTCAAACAGTCCCTGTAAGGCTATGAAAGGTGCTAGGCCCACCCCCCTCCCATTGACAATATGGTCAATCCAGCCTGGAGTGTATCAACAGAAGTGTGTTCTATAAAATCTGTTGTTAATCCATGTGAACCTACGTGGCCACTAAATGTACGGTCTCTATCTAACAGCTTGGCAACCTAGCACCCCTGGTTGCCACCAGGGGGCACTGCCAAATACCATAAACGTAGTCCCCAGACTTCCCCTCTTCAAATTCTTCCTGTTTATGGTTTTGGCTACATCAGCAGGATGAGACCAGTTCAAGATGTGACATGTTTGTAATGTGCAATTAGCCTATGCATTCTTATATCAGAGAACCCTTAATTTGCATGGGGTTACATTATTATAAACCACGTGTAATGGAAAATCCCTGTACAAATTAATCTTAACCAATTTTTGACAGTCGGTATACAGTTTTCCATGACTTCCAATTACCCAGTTTCTCCACACTGTTTTTCATTAAAACACCTTCCGTTCCTAAACATTATTATTTAATACCTCGTCACTTTTTAGTCACAAAAATGCAGAAGAGTTTTGATATTCCCAGGTACGGTATTACCTTGTCTGCCCACTTGGCTTCTTTTGTTCTTTATTGGTGGAAGGCATGGAAAGGTTAACATGAGCTTGGGGACCGATTTCAAACCTGCGTGTGGAGGAGGAAGCGGATCTGCCAACACGTTCAAAGTCGGAACATCAAGGCAACTTTTACGTCACAATTATTGCTCCTGTAGCGTTTGTCTGGTTGTTACATATGTTAAACTTCTTGTCTTCTGCAAGGTTTTAGTTTGCTCTTTACAGGATTTACCTTTTAAAAGATTCATTTTATTGGCTCTTTCCAATGGCAACAGGTTCAGTGAGCTCCATGAGTTGTTGAGATGGCAAGGATTTGTAGTGTTTGATAGGGATGTTGCACGTGTTTTATCCAAATCCTACATTCTTATCCTCAAAATGAGTGCTCACCTATCAGTGAATATAGAGGAGTGAGATCTAGCTCTCTATGCCCCCATCTTCTAGCCATTCATACCTGATGCACTAGTTACCACTCTCAACATTAACATTTTCATCATCTACACCATCTCCCATGACATTATCAAGACTGAGCAGAAGTGTTCTTACACCAGTCATCATCATCATCATCACAATTTGATGATGAGGGGAAATTTGAATTTATGAGGGGAAATTATGAATTTTGAAATTAAAAATTATGAGGGGAATTAATTTGAAATTATGAGGGGAATTAATTTCAGCAACCTCATTCTGTAATGCATTCCACTTGCCTTCTAGCCCTACAGGGAATGAGAACTGCCTTGCATTATCTTCATCTCGATTGCATGTCCAGCTTCCATTGATGTTTCCCTGTCTTATCTCCTTTCTGGGGGGAGCCCCTATAGCTCCCCGAAGCTTACTAGGCTGATATGCTAATGTCAGACTTTGGCATCAGTCATGTGTATCTAGTTCTTATGGGCCTACCGGGGACCACGATCCAGAACCTGGGCCCCCCTCTAAAGACGCAAGGGGAACAATAGCCTATAGAAACCCCTGCGTAATTGGAAGCATTCTATGTCTGTCATCGACTGGGTTAGGCACCCAGAAAGGTAGGCGTCCCAGAACAAACCCCTATTCTGGTGAAAATTGCAACCAAAAGCCGAACGAGTGGATAGAACTCCCCAAACAAAAACGAGCAAACTAGTATGACGTCAGCCGTCATCGCGCCACTGTCTGCGCAGCCCCCCTCCCCAGAAGGTGAAAGGGGCAGCCCCAGATCTACCGTGCCAGCGATCCACACCCCAGTTCTTGAGGCTGATGCTATCGGCTCGGTTGTGTGCTCTGGCTCCAGTATTTTTGCGATGCTGTGCCTTGTGTGTGGCTGCTGTACTCCAGGGGTGTGAGAGCCAGGAGTTATTCCTCAGTACTCGGACTGCATGCGCCTAGGGTTCCCTTCCCTAGGTGCCTTGTAAGTACTGCTCTTGGAGCTTGGGGTTACTTTCCACAAGTTCCTCGGGGTCTGCCTCTGTGTGTCCGTTTTACTGCTTGGTTTCTCGGCCGCTCTTTGGGTGCTTGGGGGTTTTGTCTTCCCTAGTTAACCTTGGGGTTAGAGGCAGTTTTCACACTGGTAGGGGCGCAGGGTGCTGTGCAGCTAGTTGTCACCCATCACAGCGGCCGGCTCTGTTCCTTGGGGTTCGTTGTCCTCTTGCGGGGTTTTTTTTTCTTTTTTTTTTGCCTTGGTGGGGGGTTCTGCCCTATTTGCCACTGGTGTTTGGCCTCACCTTGATACTTGGTGGTGCCCTCTGCTTGGTCCCCATGAGTATACACGTCCCTGGGGTTCAGCTTTAGACAGTTTGTTTGGTAGTTTTGGGCGCCAGTTAGCAGTACCCTGCCTGGGTTTACCTGAGCGTGGGTCCTCTTCAAGTAAACGCCCAGGACCCTGGGAATCCCCTAGGGGACACGTAGGCCCAATGGATGTGACCCCGGGTTCCCCCCCTCCCTTTGTGGGAGTTTGAGGGTTGTTCGGTCCCCTTGTCTCAGGGCGACCCTCACTGTTTTTGCCTCCGTCACGCAGCCTGTTGGGTCGGTGACACTTTTGACCCCGAGTCCTGTGAGTATTGTTGCTTGCTGGTGACTCAATTTACCCAATCTATGGATGATCATCTTCGGGTACAGGCTGCACAGGAGTTTCATTATAGGTTTTGGTTGTTGCAACATGCTAGGTTGGTTGCTCATCCGGATGCCCCGTGGCTGCCCCGTTTTGCTTATAGGGACCCGGACTTGGGGGTGGGGGTCGCTTCAACTCTGGTTCAGTCCGCACCTCCTAGTCCTTCCCCTCCTGTTGTTCGTTCTGGTCCCCCTCCCCTGCTTCTGGCCCCAAAACGTCTGATGGTTTCGGAGTTGGGGCAGGGGTTAGTTGGTCTTGAGACTCGGGCAGCCTCGGGGGATGCCCCTTCCGGTGTGGCGACAGGCATTCGGGTCTCCTCCCCCGGCCGAAGCCTCTGGGTCTGACCAGTGGGCCTCATTCTATCCAGCTTCTATGGCTGCGCTGGCCTTGTCTAGTGGGGTCGGTGCTGTGGGGGAGGACTCGGCCTCGGGTCCTGCGGAAGAGGACCCTGGGGCTGGGGAGGGGCTGACTTGGGGGCCTTGGGCCCCGCTGGACCCCGCCTGGGTTTTTTTACCCTCTGAGCGGGGCTTACTGTTACAAGGAGTGGGGCTTTCTTTTCCCCCCTCAGCGTACGAGTTGGGTTTGGTGTCTGCCCCTCCCCTAGTTTGGTTCCGTGTTTTCCCAGGTGCTTCGGTTCCGTCTTTCCAGAGGTTTTTGGCTTATCGCATCCAACCTGCTGCAGTGCGGGCGGCCTTGTGGCAAACCACCTGCGTGACCCGGATTATGCCTCGGCAATGGATCCCTCGGCTTTCAAGTTTGGGACTTCGTTCCCTTTCTGACCCCGTTACGAGGGTCCGGAGTCATCCTGGCTGGCGGATTGTCCTGTCTTTGCCTTGGAGGCTTGGCACTCCTGCCATTCCCACACGCTTGGTGGCGTGAGGCTTCGACGGTGCTTCAGGTTTTCTTGGGGGCGACCTTGAGCACCTCAATGAGTGCTTGTTTGCTTCTGCCCTTCCTCGGGTTGTTGGTGTCTTTCAGCTCCATGTGCAGGTTCCCTTCCTTTCGGCGGTGCAGGTGGCGGAGGACTTGCGCACTCGGGGCGTTTTGGTTGCGGCCTTGCGCTTCTTTTCCCTCCTGGAGCTGTCTTCAAACTGGCTCAAGAAGGATGTGGGGACACTTGGGGCTGTTCCTGGGTCTGGCGCCTTGGCCTCGGCGGCTCGCTCGTCGGCTGCCTTGCTGAAGCTTTTCGTGCCAATCTTGTGGGATGTGGTGGCTCTGTTCTATGCCTCCCAGCTCGCATGTTGGCAGATGGTGCTTGCCTTTTCTGTGGAATCCGCTTGGGCCTTGGGTCTTAGGATGTCTTCCCCTTTTTGCCCTTTCTTGTTTGAGGCTTCAGCCGTTGCGCAGATTATTCAGGCTGCTTCGGCTTCTTGCCGTCCTATGTCAGACTTGCTGGTTCTCCGGGGGTCCTGTGGTGGGCCTTCCTGGAAGGGTCGTGCCAAGGCTCGGGGTTCCTCTCGTCATGGTAGGCCACTGGTGTCAGGTTCGGGTTCGGCTCCTCCTTCGGACCCGCCTTCGTCTGGTCGGCTCGGTGTTCGCTCTGTGCAAGGTTCTGGGTCTCGTAAGGGGCGCCGGCCGTTTTGCAGTTCGCCCCATTGACGGGAGGCTTGCTCAATTCGCTTATGCCTGGTCCCATGATTTGTGGGTGTTTCGGGTCGTTTCGCACAGCCTCCAGTGGCGTTGGGTGGCCCCTCTTCCTGCGGGGGATTCGGGGCTGGCGGGGCAGGCTTCTTCCCGTGTTCTGTCAGGTCATCTTAGAGTGGGTTCGCCTGGGCGTAACGACATCCATCAGATGGGTTTCCCATCTGTTTCCAGTCCTGAAACGGGACTGCGCGGACCTGCTGTTCATTCTGGACTTGTCCCGTTTGAACCCCTGGGTTCATTGCCCCTTCTTTCAGATGACCATGCTGTCCCAGGTTTGGCTCCTATTGGAGCCGGGTGCTTGGATGGTGTCCCTGGAGCTCCAGGATGCTTATTGACACGTCCTGATTCATCCGGGGTTCAGGGACTGGCTCGGTTTTGTTGTGGGGCTTCATGCTTACCGCTTTCGTTGTCTTCTGTTTGGTTTGAATCTGGCACCTCGTGTTTTCATGCGCCTCACGCGAGTCATGGTGACCTGTCTGCGTCTGTTAGGTGTTCGGGTGTTGACCCACCTCGAT